ACAGAAATCAAGTTGAGCTGACTTCACRCGCACGGGTCGCAAAATAGTCAAAGTCAAGTTTTTTCATAAGTATTTATTCACCACGACAATAAAAATATTTTCCATTTTTCAATGAAATAGTAGAAAAYAGCAAAACAAGAACATTTTCTCTGTCATAATTTTACTCAAATTTTGGATTTTTACTCCAAAGAAAACAAAAAAGACAAGTTTAAGTGATCAAAATTCATAAAATTTTATTGAAGCCTCAAAATACCAAACTACAAATAGCTATACTTTTTTACACTTTTACAAGAACTGTACAATTATGTTAAGGTCTGCAGTTGATCATTTTGTTCAAACCTAGCTAAAGTGGAAAAAGTTCTGAACAATTCTTTCAAATCAAAAGCATTTGAACAAAACTAGCTGAAGGATCTATGGTTTTGATCAACAAAATATCCAAACTGTCTCCAAAACCTTACAATTTGATAAAATAGATATTTAAGCATTAAAGTACAAAGAAAATGAAATTACTTGAAGTAAGTTATTGTAGAAAACTGAGCATTTTTTTAATAAACAGTTTGATGTGACTTTTGTTGTGTTGAATTGTGCAAACCTACATCTCTGGGTCTAATATTTAATTTATCTATATGTAGAAACTAAGTACAGGATAATTATCCTGACAGAATTGTGTACTACTCTTACTAACTTCTACAGATACTGGATTATCAAGCAGGTTTAGATAGGTTAGCTTACTAGCTATGTTACTATGTACAATGTGATCCACCCCTACATCTGATATGTTATTGTCACGCAGGTATAGCGAGGTGATGTGAGTGTGGTTTAAATGATTACACAAACACTTTACGTGATCATTATTCAAACTACACCCCTCCAGCCACAGTCCAGTGATTGTGGAGTTTGAATGAAGAGATGACAACAATCTATTTAACATGGTAATGGTTATCTGTGAGTTATAAATGTGCAATGCTTGTGGTGGTGATGACTTGACACGAGTAAACCATGACAAAACAGTGTGTAATCTGTGTGGTGGTGATGATATTGATGTAGCAGTGGATTCTAATAACATAGCGAGTGCATCACAGTCCGTGTCGGTTACACCATCTAATCTAATCCTCCCAATATTACCCCAGTATCTGCAGTCACGATTTGTAGTCAGTTCTTGTCGTGTGAATTCTTTCTCTAGGCCGTACTCATGGAGACAGCGCAATAACACAACGCSTTGTCTCCATACATCCCCCCATCGTTTCCATACAGACTTTAGTACTTTCGACATACATTTATCGTTGTTGTTCTCCTGATCTAAACCCAACAAACCACTCGTGAATATGTGCACCATGTCAGAGGTTTCTTGTGCCGCCATTGCGCGCTTCTTCACCAAATGACAAGCAACAAAAAACTCTTGAATGGTTAAATGTGCGAAACCATATTCAAGAGTTGTTTGTGGGAATGGAGAATCACTGGCAACAGGATAACAAAATATTAAATTACTTGATTTAAGGTAAGATATTTSATTTTCWGGTAATTTTAGCTTTTCTAAGTCTTTTTGAGTGAAAGTAAAACGATTTTGTTGATACAACTGTGCGGCTAGTTTAGAAAAATTATTCAAAGTTTTCTCAACAGCTAACAAGGAGGCTTCTTCATCTAAACTACGGATTTCTCTATTRTTCCTCTCTAGACATCTAATAACTTCACMATAAAACTGTGTAAGTTTTAGAGGAACTGAATTATCTCTAGTAATGTTATTTTGGATTTCATACTCGATGACCACGCACATCAGGAAACACATCARAGGGACGCGACCAAATGACATGAAATGTGCGGTTCCTTTGACTTTCTCCATGGCCATCTTTTTTACTTCTTCTGATTTAGAGTTGAAATACTTCTCAACATATTGGATTATTTGTGTTTCGGAGAAACCGTCAATGTTCACAAATCTGTCAAAGTGGAGTTTCTTGTCCAACTCGTCGGCTTCGCCCGGTCTCGAGGTTATCATGATGACTGAATCGCACAAGATCTTTTTTTGGATTAGTTTGCTTATCAGAGCAGCTCCCGGCATCTTGGTTTCGACATCATTGGTAAATTGGCCGCTTTCAAATATTTTGCTGTGTTCTTTGAATTCATCATATCCATCGAAAATGATAAATAACTGGTCTGAGTGCTGAGCGATGTGTGCCATCACTTTTTCGTCAATCATGGTTCTTTCGTTCAACAGCGGGGAGCGGTTAAGCAGTTCTCTGAGGGTRAGCTCTTTGTTGCCAAGCATGACAAGTTGCCTGAACGTTATCAGGTATGTAAATTTAATGTTAGGGATCGATATGCAATTTGTTGACCAATCTCTGACGATTTTCTGCGAGAACAAAGTTTTTCCAATACCTGGTTCGCCAGAAACCAAAATTGACTTTGGATCGTCTTCTTCGTTTTCACCAACAAAAATATCAGAGCATTGCTTAAGTTCAGTTGCCATTTTACGTGGGCGTTGGTCTTCTGGAGTTGTTTGCTGCAGCCTTTTTTTTGTCCGGTGATTAATGGCCAGTCTTGCAAAAATATCGTCGGTTGCCGTTTTACGTTGGTCTTCTTCTGCTGTTTGCTGTAGACATTCTTTTCTCCCATGATAAATGGTCAGATTTGTGAAAACATCGTCAATTTTCAGTCTTGATTGATCTGGTCCTTTTGGCAGCAAATCTGCTTGCTTTGTTATCGCTTCCTTGAGTTTGATGGAGTACTCTTCCACATCTGATAAAGCAATATGGGTTGGTTATGTTTGTTATTTATTTTTCAATATGCTTACAAAATAAACCATTGCAATTTTAAAATGTTTGATAAAGTGAAATTGATAACATATAAGTTAAAAGAAATAAAATCTAAGCTTAAATAGTTTCTACCAATAGTTCTGCTTGCAATTACAAGTCACAGAAGTTTGGACTGTGGATTTTTTTCATTACATTTGCCTTTTATTAAGCGTTTTCGTTAGATGGAAAGGCTTACAGGGGAGATGGATTGGTTGCCTTGCAAACCCCTCTCTCTAAATATGAAATAAAACTTTGTAAAATATTCGTTGTGGCCTTGACATTTATTGTTATATACAGTCCAAAAGTTAAAAAAATCAACAGATAGTGCTTTTTGATAAAGACAAAAAAAAAGAAAACAAAAGACAAACAAATAACAGAACAAAATCAATATCTATTGAGAAATATTTGTTGCTTCATAATATTTTTTGTTAGAAAAAAAATAAAATGCACAACTTGGTTGAAAGTCTAATGTTCATGAATTTTGCTTTATAATTTCAACATAAGCTAGGATATATTTTTGTATTTGGCTTACCACTTAGTCGCCTCTCGCAGCCGTTAGGACGTTCGTTCCCAGTCTGACCTGGGAACGAATGTCCTAATGGCTGCGAGAGGAGTTATTTACCACTGTAAATTAATAAATAAATGGTTTTTGAAAAATATTGTATTT